ACCGCACCAATGGCGTAATCGCTCGCGTCACATTCAATGGTGAATGGTCTCGAAAAATCCGGTCGAGCTAAAACTGGCGCTGAACTTAGTTTAATTTTCAAAGCTTGAAATGCTTCTTCCTGTTCTTCTTTCCACTCCCACACTCTTCCCTTTTGCAATAACCGCAACAACGGAATTTTCAAATGGCTATCCTTTTCTAAAAAACGCGAATACCATCCTACCATCCCTATAAATATCCTTAATTGTTTGATATTAGTAGGTGCAGGATATTCTCAGACTGGCGCAATTTTCTCCTCGCTAGTACGCAGACCTTTACTATCAAGCACATATCCCAAATACGTCACACTCGAACACCCAAATTCGCATTTTTCTGGATTGACAACCAACCCCGCTGACGCCAATTTTCCCAAAACTACGCTGATCCATTTAATGTGATCCTCGAAATTATCATTCACAATAATAATATCGTCTAGATAACCGAACACAACTGGCTCAAATTCAGGCCCAAATAAGGAATCAATCAAACACTGAAACGTTCTTGGGGCATTGGTCAAACCAAAAGGCATCCTTTTGAATTGAAACTGTCCTAAACCCGGGACTGAGAACGCAGTATACTTTTTACTCCCTTCCGCCATTGGTACTTGGTGATAAGCCATTTTTAAATCGATTTTTGAAATAAAACGAGCTTTTCGGAGCTTATCCAAGATGGCGTCAATGCTCGGTATTGGATAAGCCTCTTTTAGAATTATTTTATTTAAATCACGAAAATCAAAACATAAACGCCAAGAGCCATCCCCTTTTCTTACAATGACAGGAGCAGTATTCCACTCACTACATGTTCTCTCTATTATGCCCTGATCTAACAGTTTCTTTACCTCGCTGATCAACCACTCTAACATAACTGGGGACATTCTTCGTGGTAAATGTTTAATGGGCTCATCCTCTTTAACGATAATTGTATGTTCGTTGAGATTCGTCATACCATGTTCTTTCCCCTGTGGCAACACTAACTCATCTACTATCCGCTGAACTTCCTTACGCTGACCGGGGGTTAACTCACAAATACCCGCACATTCACCCATAATTTCCCCCCCACTACGCTGATCGAGGCGGTTTGCAAATTCGTGCCATTCTTGTCCGTTCACTCTCCACAGTCCCCTGCCAAGTTGAACATCCATATTCATTTCACGGCAAAAATCTACCCCCAAAATTAGATCTTGAGTCAAAGATTGAATCACCTTCAACTCAAACGACTGTGCAAAACCGTCGATCGTTAACCACAATCTTAATTTGCCCATTGTTTTCGTTGAACCTCCAATGGCGCTTGCAATTTCGGAATCTAAATTCTCGATTTTGTCTTTAAATTTTTCTGCTACCGCTGGCCCTACCGCTGAAATTGTTGCCCCAGGGTCAAACAACGCGAAATAAGGTTGATCGGCAATTAAAATTTTTAAGAAAAACCTATTTTCATTGCTCGTTGCATCGATTAATTCCTCACTCTCCTTTTCTGCCTCTAGAAAATTTTCCCCCGTATCTATGCTATTTTCCAATGTCTGTAGTGGCAGGCGAGCGTTCTCCACTGCACCGTTCGCCAGTGCATCTCTTTCCCTTGCGTCGCTCATAGTGCGCATTATATTTCTCGTCTCGTTACACCTTTCACTCGGTGCTAGTACGACAGTCTCGCTGACCCTCTCGTGCCTTGGCTCTCTCCCCCCACCCACTGGGTATTCGCCAGGCGCCCCGCTCGGTGCTACCACAGCAGTTCCGCTACCCCTCTCACCGCTCGAGTTCCTCTCCCCACCCACTTGTAACTCTCCACTGTGCTTGCTATATACACTCTTCTCTCTATCGTATACTATTTCCCTCAAAGGTAAAGGATTTTCCTCGGTATCACTTTTACTACGCGCTGAACATTCTAACTCTATGGCTGGGGGGGAAGACTGTTCTGCTTCCCCCCTAACGCGTTTCCCAACAGTTCGCGTATGGGTGCACAAGAATCACAGCGCATGAACACCACTCCTACAGTTCCACACACTTGACATTTATCATTGCTCTCGCTCCGCTTTAATGCACATTCCGACGCATAATGGCCAAGACCCTGGCAATGATATCATTTTCTTTTTGCGCACTGCACTGCTTTATGACCCGCTGCACCACACACGTTACATAACCCCTCAAAAGGACGCTGACCGGTAAGTGGGGTTTTATTCTGAGCCCGATTACTTGTCCTTTGACGATCGCTCGGAATCAACAATGACTTGACCAACGATTGAATTATCGGTAAATTCTGATCTAATGTTTGAACTTCCGATGTCACAGGAAGTGCTTCCTGCGGCGGCTTCACTGGTCGCTCCTGTCCTTGTTTCGCACCAAAATACCGATCATTATTTGACAACGCTGCCATACTCGTTGCATCCTCTATTTTTGTAGATTCCTTCCCCCTTTTCTTCCCTTTTGTTGGCTTGGGCTTTTTACTATTTCTCGACACCGGTTCCGGGCTCGATTCTGACGCTGAACTATCCAATAACGCATCTATTTTCGACACCCTCGCCGAAATCTTAGGCGCTGCCATCGGGAATTTCATTTTCTCTTTTTGGGGGGGTGGGGCATATCTCCTATCGATATCCTTAATTCGCTCGTATCTCCTTAAAATTTTTTCCATTTCGCTGATCTGATTAACTTCATAGCCAGACAAATAATGTCTATATTCTGGTGTCAGACCACGATATATCACCTTAAACAACGCGTCTTGGTGCATCGGCTTACGAAGATGTTGTGAAATCGTTCTTAAATTAACAATATATTCCGAGATTTTCTCTCCCTTAGCCTGCGTACGTGCTTTTAATTCCTCAAACACGTCTTCGTCCTCGACTAATTCGAGGCCCCACGTTGGGCGCCAATTTGTAAAGAAGAAATTCAATTAAAAATTCGGAAAACTCTAAATAATCAATTTGCACCGTTTTCCCCTAAATGCAATACTTTAAACGCTGAACACCAAATAATCCACTTAACTCTTTACAAATGAAACAATTTACTCATTAAAAGGGGAATCCCGCTGAGAAGATCACATCGCGGTGCAGCGACCTTCGATCTTGTTTTCTTTTCAAAATTGAACCGTTACTTACTCGTTGAATTGACGCTCCACTCGTAGCTTGGCGGGAAAAAGGCAAAAACGCAGACCAGAAAGAACACACAAATTAAAGAACAATAAATAAACTATTTATTAATTCAAAACGAACTCTTGACTAAATAAATTTACAACTAATAAATCAATAAAATTATTAAGATTAATTAACTAAACGTTTCTCAATTTCTCAATACTCGCTCTCTTACTCAAGATTCAAAAACGCGACTCGCTCACAACTCGCTTCGAAAAACACTGAGAAACCAAAAACGATGCTGTCCTCCAAGAAGCCGGTGCGAAACGTACGAAAAACCAACTTGTTAACGGAAAAAGCAATTACAAACACACAAACACGCTGAACTCTATTTCAAATATCTCGTAACGATTCACTTCGTTACAGCTCGGACATAAATAAACCAAATGGTGACCCGCGCAGTATTCGCAAGACGGATATGCTGATCTGCAGTGATTAGACAAGTGACAAAATCTTTGGCAGCGAAAGCATCTTCTTGGTCTAGGAATCTACTAAATCATTGGCGCTTTGCCACTCTTTGCATTCTATTTTTAATTGATTTTTCCCATTTCTTGAAATAACTTTATTTCCTTTAATTAAAGGGTTCAAAAGGTCTACTACACTAACCGGATCTAATTTCCCTATATTCCTACCACGCACAGTGCTTTCCATTAGTGCGACATAAGGAGAAGGATTTGTCGGACCATACATAATTGAAATTCTGGATTTTCTATGTTAATAAGATCCCGTCAGATAAGGATGTAATATAATTATCTATTCCAATGTCTTCTGTTGAAACGCGTCTTTAAATTTTGTTAAATGAAAATTGTTCTTAATAAAAAAAACTTAGACGCGTTATTGAGGTATAAAAAAACGTAAACACAATTTGCTGTTCATACATTGTCTAATTTAATAAAAAAGTCACTTTAAAATAATTTGAGTTACATTAAAAAGATTATAATAAGACGTCTTTATTTTTTCATTGTTAATGACAAACTGACTCATTCTAAGGAAAATTCTGTTTCTGAACTTGTCCACCAAAATGCGAAAATATACAAATTTAAATATAGATGTCCTCAGTTATCAGTCTCACATTTCATCAATGATCAAAACACACATCCTCTATCTCCTTATTGCAAAGGTGACGACCGTTGACCAATAACACTTTGCCTCTGATGAAAGTTCTGCATCCAGTCTCTCTAATTTTTCTCTGGAATTCTCTCAGATGTTTTTGAGAAAGTTGCAATATTTTCCATGATTATTATTGAATACCTCAATGCATGTCACTTAGGGGAATTCTCAGACATTGGAAGGCATCCAAAATCAATAATACATAGCCATTGCACTTCACAAAGTAGTCAATTAGCATCACTATACAGTTTTCAAGAAACATTGAATAAAGCAATTAGATACGTCCGACCAGCTGGACTGCTTGTTTTGAACCTAAAACTTGACAGTACAGTAAGAGAGGTTAGAAACATTGAGTGGCGATGTTCGTGAAAGAATCTGTGACCGTTTAAATGTCCACATAAATGGAATATTGAATATCAACTATAACGATTGTTTAATGATAAATTAAAAATTATGCAAAGATTAATAAATCATTTTCCCTTATTCGTCACAAATCAAATTTATTTAGCACCAACGCGGCAGTCAGGCGCCACTTAGTTTTATTTAGAAAAATTTTGACTTTTTAACACTTTGACTTGAAGGGTTGATAATTTATCTTACATTTTTTATAAAATACTTTAAGATTTATATAATATACAGTAGGTAATTCTTACCTCTTTTTATAAGTTTTTTAATTTTATCCAGCTGTTTAAATTTTTCTTACCAGTGCTATTATTACTATGATTATTCTAGGGTGTTGGAACAGTGGTATCTGGAACGACTCTAAGAGGAGTTATTCGACTAAATGATACTTTGTTACTTGGACCAGATCCGTTGGGACATTTTATTCAGATTGTTATAAAAAGTATTCATAGAAAGCGAATGCCTGTTAGAGAAGTACGAGGAGGGCAAACGGCAAGCTTTTCTTTGAAAAAAATTAAAAGGTCTCAGATTCGAAAAGGCATGGTTTTAGTTTCGCCTGCATTAAATCCACAAGCTTACTGGGAGTTCGAGGGCGAAATATTAATTTTACATCACCCAACTACAATTAGTTCTCGTTATCAAGCAATGGGTAAATTTATTTCTAATATTTAAATTAATAAGTATTTAGAATGTTTTACTAATATTCATTGCTTAGAGTTTCTGTACATTTTCACTGATTACTTTTAAATTAATTAAGCGAAAATTTTAAAGTAATCAGTCAAAATGTAATAAATCTTTGCGACCCGAGTGTAAATATTTAATAATTTATTTTGTTTCTATATTTATTTTATATATTTTATTTTTTAGTACATTGTGGGAGTATAAGGCAAACAGCATCTATTTTATCAATGTCACAAGATTGTTTGAGAACAGGGGACAAAGCCTCAGTGCATTTTAGATTTATAAAAAATCCAGAATATATGAAAACAGGTCAACGCATGGTGTTCAGAGAAGGACGTACAAAAGCAGTTGGAAACATAATTCGTCTCATACCTCACACAGGATCTAGTAACCTACAAAGTAACAGAGTAAATAAATCCAATAGAGTTGAGTACACTAAATAAAATGTCTCGTAAATTCGTTTTATTTAAATAATTTTCATTTCTCTATTTATTTTTGTAATTCGAAAAATAGAATATTAAGTACAGTTACTTAAACTTAGTTTCTATTTAAAATATTATTATCTACTTAAAGGAAATTAAATAAATTTGTTAAAATTGTCATTCATAAAATTACCATAACATTGTTATGGTATTAATGACATTATACATAAAATGTAAAAAGTTGTACGTACCTTAGAGTAACTTATCAATATTTAATTTTACAAAGTAATTTAACGGTCGGACTATTTCTTTAAAATGAATAATTTTCTAGTGTAAAAATGTTTGTCTCATTTTTAATTATTAATTTTTCTGAAGGAGGTTGTTTTGACGAAACGAAAGAGGTTGCCAACATTTGTAGAATTTTTTAATTTAATATGTGGTCGACCACAAATATTTTCGCAAAATATTAATATTATAGTTTTTCAGAAAATTTAAGTTAAACTTTGTATTGTATACAAGAGATTTTAAGATTAAAATCATACAAATGTTAATAAAAGTATACTAAAACTTTAATAATCTTTTGTATTTCTGTCAGCAGTTTTTAAGCGATTTCAATACAGTGATAACACTGAATAACAGAAAAATATATAATTCTATTCTACTACTATTAAATATAATATAAGAATTGTTTTTCCAATATAGTAAGAAACAATTGTACTAAATGTGATTTAATTACAGAAATGTGTTATTATTAAAAAATGATTATCTATTTTTGGATTTAGTATTAGAAAAAAACTTCTGTGATTAAGCATAGGCAATCCCTCTTCACCGCCTGTCCCTCACGAGATCTAAGCAACCTCCTTAAGTCAAATACATTATAAATAAAAAGTATATAATTTTGTTAAAGCTATTAAATATTTAAATAAACTGCTTACGAATACAGATATAATTTTATATTGAAGTAAATATAAAACATACAGCTGTCTACTTTTGGAATTGACGTTTCTTAAATTAAACGTCTAATATTTATGTATAATTATCTATACTATCTATCTATCTATCATTAGGGAAATTTATTTTGTTTTAAAATTTAAGCTTGTTTTTTATTTACGTAACTCAGGTTTTCAGAATTCGGAACTGTAAGATATATTTGGTATTGTTGACAAAAATATGTAGAGTGACTTTAATTATAAGATAATATATTCTTTGCTTTTATAAATCGATAATTGTGTTTTTATTTTGATATAAGAAAGAAAACCTTCATTTTGAGCCAGGCCGATGTATCGAGTATTCGAAACATTTGGGTACTCGAAAATTTCCGGTTACAGAATTGAATCCAATCAATATTGCCCAATCTTAACCTGTTGAAACTTTCGCATGCACCTGTTACCTGGATATAAATGTTAATGAAAACTGGAAGATGATCACTGCCGAATGAATCGGGCGACGTCCAACATTCAGAGATGCACCCGAGGGAAGGAGAGACCAACACCAGATCAAGTACAAAAACAAAAAAAACAGCAAATTATTGTTCAGAAAAGTAAATTAATTATAAGATTCTCTTGTTTTTTTCCCGCAATTCCTTTAACAAAATCTCTTAAAGTACGGAGCTGAGTTTCTTTTAATATCAGTCAATTTGGTTTATCCCACCTATATTTTATACAAACTAATCTAATTCAAAAAAGAATATCAAACAAATTAAGTATTAATATTAAATTAATTGATTTCTAATAATACCAAATTATAAGGCACATTTTTTTATTTTTTGTTTCTTTTTTATATATATATTTTCTTTGTTTAATCTAATGAAAACAAACTAAATAACAAAAAATAAAAATAAATGATTTTTTACATTACTAAATTATAAGGCACATTTCTTTTTTTTACAGACATAAGCTGTGTGTTCTATAGATAATTTGGTTGGATTTATCCAACCTTTTTCGTATAATTTATTCCTTGCTACATCCTCAGATATATTATTTAGATATCTTTCTTTCATCACCTCAAATTCAAATTTGTAGACCGGACATTCTGTTGATGAGGCCTTATGATCTCTCGAGCAGTTAAAACATTTATTAGATGATCGTTGATCATTACATTCTGTCGAGAGGTGCTTGCTAGCACAGTGTTCACAGTTGGGCGTAGATGCTCAACATTGTTCGTTTACATGTCCAAAATGCTGCCATAAAAGAACATCTTTTCGGAATCGGGATGGATGGAGTTATAAAAATCCTCACACTCCACGCAAAGATGAATCTAGGAACAAAAATTGTCCTAAAAGCTAAGTTCACAATATCTGAAAATCCTCATCTAAGTTTTCCATTACTTCCGAGACAGAATGTTCCGGAAGTATCTTGATAAAGCCCTTTTTATACAATATTGATTCCGGAATGAACATTCTGTATCCCCTTTCCATTAATATATCCAAAGAAAGCAAAAGATTTGCATCTTCTTTATTCTAGCAACAAATTTTTATCTGGTTACGACCACTTGTGAAAATTTTCCTGCTTCTCTATATAACCTGTGCTATCAGCTTCCCTACAGCAATAGGGTCATATCTTCCAATGTTTCTTTTTGCGATTAAGGATTCCATCAGGACTAAATATGGCGGGTCATTTCATTCGTCATATTGTACGATCACCTTTTCTAGATCTTGTTCTGCAGTCCATTCAGCTGCAGAGTTCCTTGTATCTTGGGCCATACTGTGAATATTCGACGCTGACTGAGTATGTGCTAGAAGAGGTGGTCCAGCAAAAGGTTGTCTCTTGTCACCCTCTTGCGTTCTTGTCCGATCTTTCGTTGAATGATCCGAATATGACTCTGATATTCTCTAGTGAACTGGAACAGACTCTTTTATTATTAATCTTTTGTTGTAAAAACTCTTCTTCCGTCCATGTTTGATTTATGTTTTTGCCTTCATCGTGTAGTTTTTCAGCTAATTTAGCTGTCACTTCCCTGAGTCTCTCTGACGGAGACATGATTGATGAGCTCGACATAGCTGATCCTGGCCTTGAAAATGATGTATCCATGTGTTGAGATAATTGTGAGGCTGGTCTGCTATATCCTCTCCCTCTTGGTCCATAGTTAGAATTACTCGCAGTTGACTGTTGTAAATCTCGTTGAATTTCTTTATGGTGTTGATTCATATTCGAATCGGGGTGTTCTTTATTGATGGTATTCATGTTTGACATTTGTACTGCTAAAAACTTTCTGCCTTTCTCGTAGAATGTGCCTCACTGAAAATTTCATTAATCACCACTTTACACACACAATTCTTTAAAGAAAATATTGTATCTTGCAGTTAATAATAGTTTATATAAAGTATTAGTTTTTCTATTAGTCAAAGTTCTATATGCCACTCACTAGTTCATTATTCACTTTTCCTCTTTTAATATATATACAGAACTATCTTCCCTATTCTTCCCTATAAATATAAATGCTTCAAAAGTTTTAAACATCCGTATCATCCATCTTTGCTTGTAATTCATCTCCAGATGCTTTCTGTCTCTGAGCAACTGCAAGCCGAATAGCATCTAAGAAAGCAAGCGATACAGTCGTAGCAGATGTCAACTGTACATCATTATTATCATCAGATCCCTCTCTCAATCTACTCCTTGACTCATAAGTATTACCTTCTCGCTGAGAGGTGGCACTTTTGGTGTACACTTACATTTATAACAAACATAATGTTCACTCTCTTTTTTCAACTTGTCATACTGTTTTTTTGAAAGATTTTATAACGAATCCAATGCTTTACTAAACCATAACAAAAATTCAAAAACACTTTTAGATTAATAACTAACTCACAATTCACATAAATTGAAAAATTGTACAACGAGTAAAATACACGACTGTATGCCATCAGTGCTACTAATAAAAATACTGCTGCCTTATACGGATGGTTTCTATGTTGACTCCTTTGCGCGCTGCTGCTGAGGTCGCAGCATGTCTGGTGCTGTGTGTGGAAAAGATTTCCGTAATTATTCCGCTTTCATTCAGCACGATTTTTATCCATCTAATAATCTACTTTGGTAGTAGCTGCGTGACACGTTTTTTTATAAATCAAATCAAATTAGAAATCTTTTGACAATGACCTCGAAAGCCCAATCCGCTAATTCACAATCTCAGTGTCTGACAGTGCGATTCTCGATTGTTCATCTGCTTCCTTGTTTTGTTTTGATTCTATATAAGAAGCACGAATCCACAGCCTACGATCTTCGCACCATTTCCATATAGACCTAGTGATTTCTATTAGTTTAAGAAATTGAATCCCCTTATTCTATTGATGTATGTACTATATCGGCGCAGTGTTGTTTATTCTCAACAGGCCTGAGCAGTCGACGCATTCTTTAGCGTGACATTTAATTTCATAAAATGCTGCTATTAACTCCAGGTAATTTATGTGGTCTTTTTTTCTTCTTCATCCCACCAGCCATAGGCTTTTTTTCCTTCAGAGAAACTGTCAAAACCTGACAGAGATGCATCCGAAAAGATTACTTTTTGATAGGAATTTGTTCAGATTGGGTTACTTGCTGATTTCACCGTTTTTATCCACAATTTTATGTCGTCAGTAACGTCATCGGTGACGGTCATTTTTTTGTTGAAATCATTGTTAGATCTTTTTGTGCAAGGAACTTTTTGCTCTCTAATCGTTTCGTGTATAGCCAGCCAAAGGAAATTGCTGGACACGCTGCAATTAAGGTGCCTGAAAGCCTTGCAAGGTCTCTCTTTTTCAAAGATTTCTTTTTACAAAAATGTTTTGCAAGGGGTTCAAAAGACGGTTTCTTTTCTTGTTGATGTCCCACTGAGAACGATACGCTGTTTAATAGAAAAAACCTTAGAACATACAGTTTTGTGTGGACATCAGAGCACTTTTTTCATTATTGATTTCAAAACCTACTTTCTCTAGCAATCCCTTTGTGATACTTACATTGTTTTTGCATTCGTATTCCGACCTAGCAATTATTAAGATTAAGTATAGTTCGTTTTTCTTAAATACAAATAGAAACAATTAGAAATATTAATACTGACTACTTCTTTGTACTTTGGCTGTATTAATTAAACAAAAAATACTTATTTTCAGTCTTTTCCGTTTTCAACACTTTATATAGTTTCTTAGTAAAAAAGCCTTGCAGCCCTATTGCACTATAAGTAATTCAATACTTAGTTAAAATAAAACATTAGCTGCATCACAAAATCTTTCATAATTCTTCACTGGCTTCATGGGCATTCTTGTGCTTTTTCTATTGTAATTATTCGACACTGGTTGTTTAAGTCCTTTGCTGGTATTGGAAGATTGTCATTAGATTTTTCTTCCACCTGTTTAATTAGCCACACGTTTCGGTCTAATCTTGGTCACATGTGTTCGCGAGGCAACATACAGTGCGGACCTGTGTTTCTATAGCTTTTCATGTGTTCATATTTAATTAATTCGATCTTTCACAATCAATCTTTATTCTCCTTGTAATTTAGTTTATTTCTTATATCGCGAATGCCGTTTATTTCCCTTAACAGGTTATGGACCCAGGGGCGATGTAAAAACAAATGTGGAGTCAAATCTTTGTGAAATCTTTGTTTTTGAGGTTAGTGTTGTTTTATAAAAACGTAGTCGAAAGATGAACGCGGCGGTGTAAAGTTCGAAGTGTTAAACAAGGATAATTACGAGGCCGGGCGAATCAAAATGCGAGTGATTTTAATTAAAAATAGTTCGTGGGGTTATGCAGATGGGACTAATATGAAACCTGAGATTACGGAAGGAGAGGCAGCATCACAGCAAGCAGCGGAACGATGGGTGGAGGCAGATTTGAAGGCTCAATCTGATATTATTTTGGCGATGAGTCCTTCCGAGATATTGCAGATAAAGAATAGCACCACCACAAGAGAAATTTGGACTAAACTCCAGGGTATTTACCATTCCAAGGGTCCTATAAGAAAAGCGGCGTTATTAAATCAGTTGATGTCTTTAAAAATGAGTAAAGAAGACGATGTTCGGGAATATTCCAGATCCTTTTCGATACCGTAGATAGATTGTCAGAACCGGACGTTAAAATTAACAAAGATTTACTCGCGGCAATGCTTCTTCGCAGTTTGCCTGAAAGCTATGAAAACTTTCGTTGTGCGATTTCCTCGCGTGATGATTTGACATCTCTAGAGACTTTGAGAATTAAAATTGAAGAGGAATTCGACTCTCAAAGAAACACAAATAAAAATTTTGTTCCAAGTGCGA